ATCTTGATTATCGATTGTTATCGATAAATGGAATACCGAGATATACTAATATATAAACTTAATTATTCTAAATTATGCATGTAGGCTATTTAAAATCGAAATAGGAAAATTTGATATCTCTGAATATTGATTCTTATCGATAACATGAAGGTTGGTTGAATGAGAAGTATAAACGAATAATATATAGAATATAGATATATGAATTTGTCTGTGAAGACCTAAAAGTAGTTTAGGAGATGGGATACGAATGGAGAGATTGACTTAGATTGACTTAGCTCGATGTCTTGATAAAAACTTAAATACCTCGACTGTCTCTCTCTCGCTCTCTCTCTCTTTTATTTTTAATGAATAGAAAGTGTTTTTTAGTCAAGAGTCGCATTATCTGATTTGAGCTGCCTTATAAGGAAATGTTGGACTTTCTTATTCATCATGTGTGTGTGTAAAGCAAATGTTCGTCGAGCCAGAGCAAAAGTATTTGTTTAAAAACGTCATTCGTAATATAATATACATTTAGCTGTTTATATTCAAGTATTTCAGTTGGTTAAATTTAAGTATTTGGCTCACTTTGAATATGGAATCTTGCTTGAAATCTTGCAAGGAAACCAGTTTGCTGAAATGTAATCAAGTTGTTGGCATTTCAGAATCGGAGCGCTGGCGAAATACCGTTGTGAGCGTGGGTACAAGATGGTGGGCGAGGCACTGGCTACCTGCACGGATAACGGCCAGTGGAGCGGCATTATACCAGAGTGTGTCTGTGAGTAAAACGATCGATCAGAGTTTATATATATCTGCATGTATGTATGTAATACAATATTGAACTCTTGCAGATGTGGAGTGTGGAACACCGGAGAATATAACGAACGGCAAGGTGACCTTGGCCACGAATGCCACCTACTACGGGGCCGCTGTGCTGTATGAGTGCAATGTCAACTACAAGCTGAACGGCGTCTCGCGGCGATTGTGCACGGAGCATGGCAACTGGAGCCACGAGGCGCCCAAGTGCGTTGAGGTTGTCTGCGACTTGCCCAATGTGGGCGACAGCCTGATTGTCGAGGCAGAGGTGCGGGCGGTCGGCTCGGTGGCGCTCTTCAAGTGCGCCAAGGGACGCATTCTGATGGGCAACGATACGCGCATCTGCCAGAAGAATGGCAAGTGGTCGGGCAAGAATCCGACGTGCCGACGTGAGTACCATGCATACGCATAATGCCTCTCCAATTTGTACTAATATGCTCCACGTTTGAACGGCAACAGCTGTGGACTGCGGACGACCGTTAGCCATTGACAACGGGCGCGTGATTGTGGTCAACGACTCGACCCTATACGGCGGCTCCGCCGAGTACCACTGCATACCCAACTACCAGCGCATCGGACAGTATTTGCGAAAGTGCACCGAGGAGGGCGCTTGGAGCGGCAAGCAGCCGCGCTGCGAGCTGGCGACCGTCGAGGGCCAAGAGAGCTCGGAGCTGGGCACGGGCGTGGCAATAGGCGCCACGGTAATTGTCGCCTTGCTGGTCATCTTTGGCCTCATATTCCTCTATCGCAACAAGGCGCGGCCCGTCAAGAACACCGAGAACATTCAGGCGGCCGAAACGAAGGATGAACGCAACGCCGCGGTCATGTCCTACTCCACGTTGGAGGCAAACAACCGCATGCACATGGACAACAATCCATCGGCGACGTTCAACACATTCCAAGGCGGCGCCGCGCATCGGGGAGCCCGCAATAACGACAGCGCTGTGGGCGCTGGCGAACGAGTGAACAATCGCTCAGGTGCCCATTGAGAGAATAATTGCCCATTCATGAGCTAATTGAAATCCATTTGCAGAGAACATCTACGACCAGATACCAAATGAACAGTTCTACGATGCGCCCTACGAGATGCGCACCAATGACGAGGTATACGAGCCGGAGCCAGTGTCCAACAATGTGATCACAATCAATGGCATTTCAGTGCGATAAGGAGCATGTGGCACGCATGCGTCATTAATGTTAACTTGTGTTTATATATGTATATAGTAATTTTAGAGAGAGAGAGAGAGAGAGAGAGAGAGGGAGAGAGAGAGAGGAGAACGTGAAAATAGATCGAAGTATTCCAATGACCATTTAACGCCCACTACCCACGCTAGACACACTGGACACTGACATACTTCTTTAACTGTTGTGATCAAAGACGAGAGTATATGCTCCTCTGGCCCATTACTGTAGCATCTGCATTGACTGCCCAGTCCGTCTCTCTGTCTGTCTGCCTTGAATTATTGTTCATTTGAGCTGTATCAATATCCAGTAATTGATTAGATCGAGATTCACTTAGGTTTCGCATACTTTTCTATATCACTGGGTGCCATATTTAAGCCCTGAAAACTTGATTTCGATTCGACTGAAACGCAAACTGAGAGAAGAATGGGGAGAGAGACTCTGATTGTGTTGGTGTGTGTAGCACTGGCTGGGTACAGGGTATCTGCTAGTCGGCTGCCCTCGACTAGAGCACTCGTAATTTTTTTTTTTTTTTTTTTTTTTTAAATTATTACGTATTATATACATATATATATACCTATATATAAAGTAAAAATATGTATAATCGGATTGTACAACTTTGTTATGCAATGTGTAAGTACTCGCTAAAGCTTAAGTGAAACAGAAGAAGAAGAAGAAGAGGGAGAAGATGGAGAAGAAACTATGTTGTACTTAAATAAATATGTGGTTAACTAATGTATTATGATTGAGCTCGAATGTATGTATGTACATATAAACTAACACATGTATGTAAGCATTCATTTATGTTTCTATTATATATATATATGTATGTATATGTATAAATGTATATACTCAATATTGGTATTCACCATTTGAAGCCTTCTTGAGTCGATCGTATTGGTTTGTTCTTGCAATGATCATCGTTTACAATATACATTTATGTGTTTCGTCTTGGAACTGTTCGTGTTTATGCTGATTTACGAAATGAATCGGGTATATTGGCTTTAGGCGGTGCTCGTCTTTCTGTCCGAATTCCAGCTACTCTCTATTCTATAACTGAAGACTTGATATTTGGCATTATTGAGATTTTCCTAACACACTCACTAGAGGCGTGGCAGTTCGGATAATAATAATATTTAGTATAATAGAAGTGCTATTACTTAGAGAGTGCAGAAATTTGTAGAGTAAAATCGTCTGGACAACTCAAGATATATATAGTAGATATATCTAGGCACATATACAGACTGCACATATGAATCCTCTAGAGAGTCTTGCTATTTAAATACATTGAGGAAAGATTATTCTTTTATATAACTGTTAAGCTACTCTTGAGATTTAGCATAAATCAAATAAAACTCTTTTTGGACCATGAGCGAGTATTACGCAGTCGGTGGCTGAGCCTGAGCATTTTGTGTAAAGAATATGAGTTAAGGTCGAATAAGTAATAAATATAGATAAACACAATCAGATGATATCATATGAGACCCAAAAGAAACCTTGTAGAGAGCATTGGAGCATTGGAGGTGCATCAATTAACAGACTTTGCGTCGGCAACATTTCCTGCCCTGGGCACCCCAAGGAGAACAACATCATAGTGTCCCATGGCCCAAGGGGCTAATAATGGCATCGATATGGACGAGGAATTGACAGCGAATGAGAGAGAATTCTTGTTGATTGTCGTCATACTCTATTTATGCTCATTAACGAACGCGAAAGTGAGGATATAGGTTTTTATATGCTGCTCACCCTTATGCTTTTTGACTAGGGATATTAGTATTAGAGTTGACGTCATTTACAAAAGTGAAAGTGAGTATATTGGTATTTAAAAAAATTTCTATCATTCGTCTGTTCGTCCGTCTCTCTGTACATCCCTACGATTCTTGACTAGAGACATTAATATGATATTTATACTCATTCACGCAAGTGAAAGTGAGTATATCCATTTTATGCAATCATCTGTCTGTCCGTATGAAACTAATATAGAGGTATTTGCTTTATATATATGTATGTATACTCATTCATGGAAGTACAAGTGAGTGATTATTGGTGCTTGCCCAATACCATCACCAAACTTGGCCAGACTAGACTAAACTTGAAACTTTGCATTGACCACCGGGGATATATATCAAATAAATCATCATTTGCTTGCTCTATTGAGCTGACAAAAATCATATACATATATATGTATATATATGCAATACACATATGTATGTAGAACTGGAAAATCCATATCTTTATTTTGATGCTGTCAGTGTGAGTGAGTGGGTATTCCACAGTCGGTGGTGCCCGTTCTTGCTCTATTACTAGTTCTTTTATATTTATATATTATTATATATTATATATAGATATTATATATGTTAACTAAATAATAATTAACTTGCAAATTCAGGTACTCATCTATTTGAGGAACAGTAACCAAGTAAGTATTTGGTATTTCTGCTTGCTCGGGTTGGTATTGTCCTCGCTATAGATCTACACTTAGTAATACTGGGCACGAGCTAAACCGAAACCGGTTTTATCTTTATCAGTTCTGTAGCTAGAACTCCAGGTGGACATAGAAGCTAATAGGGATCTCCTGGACTAGCTGCTGTCCTGAGATAATTCGAGATATTTACATTTGTCTACGCGTAGAGCTGAAATCGGAGGACCCGAAGAGGGTGTCACTTGAGCTCAGGAAATAGGATCAGTATTGGACTGCGGCTCGACTCGCAACAACTTTAAATGTCTGTAGTATAACCTATGTAATCCAACTTCAGACTTTGTAAATTGCTCAAAAAGAGGGGGAATACCTTTACAAGATTTATTTCTACTTTTGACGCAGATGGAGCCCTTGTTGAGCTGCCCTATAAATAGACCTCCATGGAAAATGCAGACACGAGCAAGCATTGTGCCGCTGGGCAGACTCGAGGACTGTAAATTGTTGCGTCTATCTGGTACTGGGACTTTAAACAAATTTGTTTGATCAATATTTCATTGGAAATAGAGTTGTTGAGCTGGCAGGGCCGAGTGCGTACGTAATATTGAGCAGTTGTTCAGAACACACACATCAACTAACACACTATGCTAGATTTGCACAACAATTTGGATCTTTCATCAAAATTTCTCGAAATTACTTGGATCTAAATTTGCATATGTTTCACCTTGGAAGTGAGCTGCGCAGACAATGGCGAGGCGTGGAGGAGCACAGCAGCTGCAGGCCGAAATCAATACGGACGAGGAACTAGAGAAGTTCCTAGCTCGTCCAGGATTGCTCAGTATGTATAGCTGTGTATCTCTCTCAGATCATAGATCAGGATGTTTCTTGATTCATGATTCATGATTCTTTATTCCATGTCGCCCATTGATTCGCAGTTTTGGAAGTTTACTCCGAGTGGTGTGGGCCATGCCTGGGAGTGCTTGGGGCATTGCGCAAAGTCAAGCTGGAAGTGGGCGGCGAGGCCATGAGCCTGGCAATAGTGAGTAGCTGCATTCCCCAGTCTACGATCTCAGTTAGCTGATTAGATCCAATTTCCCACCCAGTGCAAGGCAGATACCGTGACAGCTCTGAGGCGCTTTTACAAGAAGAGCGAGCCCACCTGGCTGTTTGTCGTGGTAAGTTAATGCAGCTGGCACTCGCTACCGTCCTTGAGCAGCCCGCTTTTCCGTTGCCCCCAGAATGGCCGAGCTGTCAACCTGTTCTACGGGTCGGATGCACCCAAATTGGTGGCGCTCATTGTGAAGGAGTTCGAGAGGTCGCAGTCCTCAGCCCCGCGGCCGACCTACGCCATTGACGCGCTGCAGCCCATCGAAGCGGAAGCACTCCGGGTCAAGAAAGATGCCATCGAGAAGGCTGAGCGCATCGAGCGGGAGAAGCAGCACAAGAAGCGCATTGACTACCTCACCCATTGCACGGACGTTATAATGGAGAACTTGCCGGACATTGGTGTGACAGTGTTTGGCCCGCAAGTCTCGCGCGATATGTTCAAGAAGCTCGCCGAGCCGGCGGATCATCTGAAAATGCAGTGCAAGGATCGAAAGTACATTGAGGTGTTCGCATCGGACTTTGAGGTCGTGAACTTTGCCTGCAAGAATCCGCTGTCGACCGACGTCATAGAGCAATTGCATGGCAAGGAGCTGCTCATATGCTTCTGGAAGATCGACGAGTCCTCTGGGCCCATACCGCACGTGCTGGCCACCTACGCCCACGAGCTGACGAAGGAGCGCGTCGCACCGCCCGACGACGACCATCCATCGCCGCATCCAATTCCGCCGATCATCTCGCCGATGAAGGTCAAGTTCGAGGTTGAAGTGGAAGGTATGTGGGATGTTGGGATGATGGGATGTTGGGGTAGGACATTCGTTTATTCATATTTCTTTGTTTTTGCAGAGGGCGAAGTTTGGGTGGAGGAGATCAGCTCATCCGAAGAGGCCCGGCAGAAGGCGGCCGAGAAGAAGGCGGCCGAAAAGGCAAAGGCCGGCTCCCAGCCGGATGAAGCCCGCAAGGAGGAAATGGAAGACGATGGCGAGGAAGAGGCCAGCGAGGAAGAGGAGGTGGTGCAAGCCATCCAACCGGCCTTCCCGGGCATGCCGCTGGACCTGGACCTGGGACTGGACGACAACGTTGCCACCGAAGAGGAGGCCGAGGAAGAAGAGGAGGAGGCGCCGAAGCCCCTGACGCGCACCAAGCGCGTCAAGATACCTCCCATATGGGTGGCCAACAATCGCCGCACCCACGCCGCCCTGATCTATGTGTTCTTCCGCAACCAGACGACCGGATTCCTGCCGCCCGATCCGCCACCAGAGCCGCCGCACGTCATCATGGCCTTCGAGGCATCCAAGCGCGATGACATCCTGGAGGTGATGGAGACCATCAAGGATGACGTGCCACTTTACGGCTTCTTCACCAGCGACACGCCCGGCGAAGCGAAGCTCATCACGAACTCGATATTCCGATACGATGACATGAAGGAGACGGCGAAGACCGATCGCTTCGTGCTCAAGGTCAACAAGGTGCTATCGTACACGATGCTCTCGCTGGTGCAGTTCGAGCCGACCTATTGCAGCAGCAATGTGGAAAATGGTCGCCAGGACGCGCTCAAGTTCTTCCCGGAGGACTACAAGACCGACGAGGAGATACCGCCCGACGTGGAGCCCAAGCCGAAGAAGGTAGAGTTCACTCAGATTTCGCTTGCTTCCGCCCTCCGGCTCTTGACTAACCCATCTCTCTGTCTTCCCTTCGCCTCGTGCAGCAAAAGAAGAAGGCCGCTTCCGCCCCCGAGCCAGCAGCCAAGACGCGTGAGTCACGCAAGTCGCGTGAGCCGTCCAAAATTAAGCACGCCGAGCCTGCGGAAGCTGCAGCTGCCGCTCCCGCAGAAGGAGCACCCGCCGCGCCGCCAGAGGGCGAGGCTCCGGCTGGCGAGCCAGCGGCCCCGGCGGGCGAAGGCGCACCAGCCGAAGCACCACCAGCCGCGGACGCACCGCCGGCTGCACCACCGGCAGAGGAGGCGCCACAGCCCGCCGAGGCCGCCGAAGCAGCACCCGCTGCAGAGCCGCCCCCGGAGGAAGCCGCAGCTCCCGCTGCTCCCGCTGAGGCCGCCGAGCCACCGCCCGCCGAGGCGCCACCAGCAGAGGCAGCGCCGGAGCCTGCGCCAGCCGAATAGTTCCATTGTCTCTCACCCCAAATTATGCACATACATATATGTATGTATGTATACATATTGTAGTGCTGTACCACACCGTTCGTTTCGAAATCTCGCTAAATACACACTACATATACGAACAAGCATTGCTACTACTCTTATTCGACCACTAGAATGTGACGACTCTATTAGTAGTAGACTTAAAGGAGCAGCAGAGTCTACTACACTTCTACTACTTTTCTATTTTGTTTTAGAAATACTAAAGATGGTAGTTTCTCTATGCTACTGCTACCTGTAGTCTACTACTTTTGCGTCTAATTACTACATTAATTCTAGTAAAGGCTCCTACTCTTACTCGAGTACTACTGATTCTATATCACTTGATTTACTCTTCTGTTACTGTTCGTACTTTCTATTCTATTGCTACTATTCTATTCTACTACTAATGTTTCTTTATTTAAAGCGAGACTCTACTTTGTTATCACTATTCATGTTCTTTGAATGTGCTACTGCCATTGCTCTATTGATACTCTTGTTTGTAATCTACTACTATTCCTATTTTACTACTACTCTTTTATATTAGTTTGTTTATTGCATATTGCTATTCATTTTACTTTCAGTGTGCTACTACTATTACTCTATTACTACGCTTCTTTTACAGCTATTCGTAATCTACGGCTATTCTTATTTTACTACTACCCTTTTGCTACCACTATTCAGTTGCGACTATTTCTATGGCATTACTTATACTACATTACTACTAATACTCTCCTACTATTCATGCTTTAATCTACTTACCATTCTTATTCTATTATTCTTTAAGGATTATTGCGAATCATGCTCTACTGTTACTTTAAATGTGATACTGCTATTACTCCATTGATCTACTACTATTACTCTATTACTACCATTGCTCTATGGCAACTTATACTCTACTGCTATTCATACATATACTACTACTCTTAGTCCACATCTGGTCTCCTTACACTGCTGCCCGAATTCTACTACTTTCTTGTATGTACTGTAGCACTTATATTGTTCTACTACTATTTCTGTTGTGGAGCAGAAACTGAACTACTTTTGTATTTGCTTTGTTTTATGCAAGCTTTACTCTATTTCAATGTTCTACGATTAGAATTACCCTAATATAACTTCTGTTCTATGACCATTACTCTTATTCTCCTGCTATTCTTGTAATACTCTTTGCTTACTACTATTTTGGTCTATTTTATGTTTATTTATTTTATAGGTTACTTAATTTCCTTTGTTTTACTACTTTTATTCTTATTGCTACTCTTTTGTTACTCCTGCTTCTACCATAACTCTTACTCTGCTACTACTACTATTACTACTACTACTATTCTTACTACAACTATTACAACTGCTACTACTATTACTACTAATACTATTTCTACTACCACTACTCCTCCATGTTAATTACGACTCTTACAAATTTTTTACAGGGTATGCAACGTGTCATATACATACATATGTCCATTACAATAAATGAGCAGATAATGATCTCTTGTATTTATGCATATTTCCATGTACACACATATGTATATACATACATATACATATATATACATATGTATGTATGCCTATTACTCTTTAGGCTCAAAACGTAAACAAAGAACAAAGCACGCGGTCCATAGATAATAGAATTTGCAATTGCATACATACACAAGCATAGTTAGTTAGGCTGGCATATTAGGGTGGCTCAAACTACGCAAAGTGTTAAAAGTTTACCTTATAAATATTTATATTTAATATAATTTCTTTAATTTATTTAAATTGTTGATGCTAAGGCATATTGGATAACAACATGTTTTTATTATTAAATATGTGTGTAAATACTAGAGAGATTACTATTGACCCTTTATTGAATTTTAGGTCAATTAAAATAAAATTGTAAGTCGCTTGAAAATTGTCTAAGACAAAAGTTAAATATATAATAAATATTCTATATAATAATAAAAATATAATAAATAAATATATATGATATATAAAATATATAATATATATAAAAATATAAATATATATAAATATATCAAATATAAATATATAATATTCTGCGTTGATAAAAACATAATAAGTATCAGTATTGTTAGATCATTTAGCTAATGAAAAAAATTAGTTACTGGAGCATATATTAAATCAGAAAGAGCAAAATAACTATATGAAGCTTATTTTTTCTTGAAAAAAGTCAAATAATAAAATAAAATATGTTATAAGTATTGTTTATGAAAATATTAATAATCATATAATAAATAATGCTTTTCAATAACTTTTCATTTATTCGTTTATTTGATTATAACAATTAGTGATGGAAGCTTACATAATGTCGAAAACGGAAGCGAAATAACTTTATAGAACTTTTCACAATTTCAGTTAGATTTAAGCCAAATTCGCATTCAATGCGATGCAGTATTGGGCCACCCTAATGCATATGGAAGCGCCTTTCCAAGTGCGTGTGCGTGCGTGTGTGTGTGCACGAATAGCGAGAAGCGAGAGACGAATGATAAATACGAACAGGTGAAGATGAGAATGCAGTTCACTACAATTCTGCTGATATGCATCGAGCAATTTACTAAGGCTCTGGCCCAGGGCATGCCAGTGAGTCCGTGCCCGAAGGTCTTTCAGTACCGGTTCGATGGCAGCGAGTGGTTCGGTCTGGCAGCCATACGAAATCCGGACGTCCAGGCGCTACAGATCCGCATCACGCTCTCCATGCGCGGCAAGCCAACCACGGTGGGTGCTTCAAAGTCGAGCGATCGAACGCTGTGGCCTCGGATTCAGTTTGCTCTGCTTTCAGAATTACCTGGGCGAGATCGAGTTGCTGACTCGGGGCCGGTTTACGAGCAATGCGCCGGTGCTCTACAAGATCCGCTTTCCCAAACATCACTTTCCACCCAAGCTGGTGCTCATCTCGGTCAACAACCAGGTCATCTGCTTTGGAGCTGCCGGTAAATGGGTTTCGAGATCTTCGTCTCTCTTTATATGGGATAATAATATCTGCATTCCATTCATAGATCACAGCATATTTATGACTCAGATTCAGCTGGAGCACACGCGAAAGCTAACCTTTATAGCCGATAACAGTTCGTCGGGCCTTACGCTGTCGCCGTCGGTCGAGGGAGACCTGGGCCTGGAGTCCTCCGGCAATCCGAAGCAGCCCACCCAGCTCCACTCCACTCAGTTCAAGAAGTATGCATTGGGCGTGTGCTCTGCTGCGTATATACATATGTATGTATGTGTGCCTATGTCATTGCAGGAAGCCATTCCATGCGCCGGGCGAGGTCTGCGGCCGGGTGGACAAGGCCCTCGACTTTCGCTTGCCCAAGCGCCGGCAGCGCAAGATGATCTCCGCCGCCTCCGCTGCCTCCGCTGCCTCCACTCCAGCCGCGCCTCGCTTCGCAGCCGAGCCGGCCGGACAGCTGCCAGTCTTTGACTCGGAGTACGACGAGGACGAGTCGCCCGAGGATGAGGACGATGGCATCGTGCTCGTGGACGGCCAAGGCACTGCCACGGGCAATACGATGCTGCCATCACTAACGCGCGGCGCTTGGCCCTGGCTGGCGGCGATATACGTCAACAATCTCACGTCCCTCAATTACCAGTGCGGCGGCACGCTCGTCTCGGCCCGCGTCGTCATCAGCTCGGCCCACTGCTTCCAGATGTTCAATCAGCGCTACACGGCCAACGAGGTGCTCGTCTTTCTCGGCAGGCACAATCTCAAGAACTGGAACGAGGACGGCTCCCTGGCAGCGCCCGTCGACGGCATCTATATACACTCCGACTACAACGGCCAGTTGAGCAACTACGACGCGGACATCGCTGTCATTCTGCTCAAGAATGAAGTGCGGTAAGTGGAGGAAACTCTTCTCTCAGTCTCTTTTTGAGATTTCTCTCTCTCTCTCTCTCTCTCACTCTCTTCTCCCACTCTTTTCTCTTCTCTCTCTCTCGAGAAACTATGGCTTTATCTACATATGATAGGATATTTTTACTTTAGCCAGCTGTCGGTTGGGAAGTATTCGACTAGGATATACCCTATATTCATGCAGACACACAAAGAGCTTAAACTGATGTTTTCTAATGCTACAGATCTCCGACTCTGATAGATGTACATAGCTGAATTAAGTTCTAGAATTTTCGATTACCGATCTTAAATTATATTTCAATTTTATTTCAAATGAAAAGCGGGAAGATATTTGAGATATAATATATATATTCCAAGACTTTTTATTGCCTCAACCCATACACATTTTGAAGGGAAATCAGAGTACAATAGTTTTCATAGAATGTACATACATATGTAACAGGCAGAAAAACATAACAGACCCTATAAGGTATACATATATGCATACGTAAAACTAGCTGAGTTGATATACATATGTATACATATATGTTCATACATATATAGAAGTTGGTTTGTGTGTATAAACACTGAGATCTCGTAACTCTTTGTGGCTAGAGACTTTCAATTTTCAATATATACTGGTATATGGTCTAAGAATTAAGATTTTTTTTGTCGATAAATCATTTCATTTATTTTGTTACCGATATAAATGGCTAGCTTGCCTTTTCCAGTGTAAATTGAATACTGTTGGAGCTGTACATCCAAAGTAGTGATCATATATAGATTTAGATATTATGTTCCTTACATTAACAATACAGATATATGATATTATGTCTCTTGGAAAGTTTGGTGATGACAACTCAGTTGATGAAGTATTCATTTTGGAGAGAATTGGATGCCTCGCATTCCTCTACAAGCTGAGTTTATATTAGAATAATTAGCGGCGATCGCCATAATCTCATATATATGAAAACAGATAGAGGCATATCAGTGTCCACTAAATTCGTAACCCTAATCAGCAATATGATTCCTCTTTATGTGTATTCCATTCTCGCATTCTGTTGCCTGTTTGCATATAACTAATATACCCTTTTTCGCTCCAGCTTTAATACATTCATACAGCCCGTCTGCCTGTGGTCGGGCTCCAGCAAAATGGAGTATATCGTGGGCGAGCATGGCATTGTGATTGGCTGGAGCTTCGACAGGAGCAGAAACGCGACGGCGATCTCGAAGAGTCCGGCAACCGCAGCTGAGGCGAAGTTCATACCAATTGTGGTAAAGGCGCCCATTGTTTCCAATGCGGAGTGCTTCAAGGCGAACGAGCACTTTCGCAGTCTCTCGTCGAATCGCACCTTCTGTGCGGGATTCCTGCTGGACGGCCAGCGGGGCGGCGGGCGCAGGGAGCGCAGGGAGAGACGCGGAGCTGGTACGGGCATCTCTGGTGCCGGCCTGATGATACTCAGGAACAATCGCTGGATGCTGCGCGGCACCGTCTCGGCTGCTCTGCCCAGCGACAAGAATCTGAGCAGCGATCCAGCTCAATGCTGTACTACTCAATATATCATTTATGCCGACGTCGCAAAGTTTATTGATTGGATAATGGCTTTTATTATATAATTCATGATGTGTGTTAGTGTGTGTGTGTGTCAATGTAATGTATGCCCGATTCAAATGGCGAATTCAATTTGAATTAAATAACTGCTGTGATAACCCCTGACGCTACCAGAGCTACCTCTACCGCCCTGCGGTGGGCTGGCTACCGTCCCTTCTTACCTAATGAAACAAATCCTGGGCTTAACTTCTTTTAAATTGCTTTTATGGCCAGCTAGCTAATCCGCTACCTAGCAAAGCCGCAGGCGCTGCCCCTATCCGCGCCCCTACCTGCCCCTGATCAGGTCAGGTGTGCGAACGGTCCGATATAAAGCCGCGTGGCCATATCCAACATTGCATCATTGCGCGTTTGAGCCTCGATTGCTGCAGTTATGCTGAAGCTGGTGTTGATAATAATTGGATTCGGTGCGACGGCGGTGGCCAACGACGACGGCTGCAACGAAATGGTCTGCGGCTCGGTAGTGTCCAAGTGCCTGCTCACCCAGAGCTGCCAGTGCAAGCTGAACGATTGCCACTGCTGCAAGGATTGCTTGAACTGCCTGGGCGAGCTGTACACGGAGTGCTGCGGCTGCTTGGACATGTGCCCCAAGCACAAGGACGTCTCGGCGGCGATGACGCTGCGCTCGGAGATCGGCGATGTGGACGGTGTGCCCGAGCTCTTTGATACCCTGACTGCGGAGGACGATGACCAGTGGTCGACCATACGCATACCGATGCGCGTCGGCCTCAAGCAGCGCATGGAGGACGAGTCCAATCTGATCAGCCTGCCCCGGCACAGCCGGCCGGCGGACACCGTCAACTGCACCGTCATCTATGTGAACTCGTGCATCCGATCGAACAAGTGCAAGCAGCAGTGCGAGAGCATGGGCGCCAACAGCTATCGCTGGTTCCACGACGGCTGCTGCGAGTGCGTGGGCGCCCACTGCCTGAACTACGGCATCAACGAGAGCCGGTGCAGCTCCTGTCCCGAGCAGGATCTGCTCACTGCGGATGCGGCCAGCTCGGACGCCGACCAGGATCTGGAGCGCATATTTGGCTTTGAAGACGACGCGCCCAACGACATGTGGGACTATGTGGAGGACGAGGAAATGGATTAAACTACCCCCCGCTGCTGCTCCACAAACTATTCTCTATGCTCTATCCACCTGCACTGTCCAACAAATTGTACATAGTCGAATAAACCATTCTTTTTTTTTATTTGTCTGTATATTCTATGTGTGTTTATTATATTGGAGGCTAGATTGTGGATCGCATAGCAATAGGTGAATTTCGGTTTGCTGTTTAGGGTATTTCTTGGACGGAACAGAAGACATAATGCCCAAGTTAGTTGTAAATGTATGAAAAAGGCATCAAAGACAACAATGCCATATATTATGAATATTTTATAGACATCTATTACAGATCGTATACTTCAATTAGTCTGTAGTCGGTATTCCCGAATGTATGTGAAATACTACTCCTTGGACGAGGATTTACACAGTGGGTATGCCAGAAAGCAATTCGAAATCATCAGCTTGGTAGAGTAATAGAGCGATAGAGTAAGAGAGACACAGTAGAGTCTCTAGTATAGGCATGAGAGAGACAGATATAGATGTTGGTAATAAGTAGCATAGTAGAGTCTCCTGCTGTGACATTAGTGTAGCCATGTGAGAGTGAGAAGGAGGTAGTTCTTGCTAGGCCCAGATATTACTGATAGAGGGAGAGAGAGAGAGAGAGAAGAAGAGAGAGAAGAGAAGAAGTAATGGTTGTTGCGGAGGCATAATCCGAGTGAGTTTGCGTGTTGGTAAATACTTGAAGAAAGTAAGAGAGAGTGAGACGGAGATAGCTGTTGATGTACGTAGAACCGGATGCTGCTGAGAAAGAGATGGAAAGGGAGAGTGTGAGAAGGAGAAGTAGAGAAGGAGGCTGTGAGAGGGAGAATGAGAGTGGAAGAGGGATAGGTAGAGTGAGGGAGAAGGAGAAGTAGAGAGAGAGAGAGACAGCAGCAAATAGCTTTGGGTATTGCCTATAGACAGAGAGGGAAATAGAGTAGAGGGACTTACAATAGGGTATTGGTGATAGAGAGCGACAGAGAGATAAAGAGAAGGAGAGTTATCCGAGTGAGTTAACCTTTATCCTTAGCATTTATCCGTGAAAGTGAGGAACCCTTTGGCTAAGAGTGGGCGAGAGGAGAGCATTAGCTATTTGGTTTGACATAGAGAAGTAACTAAATTATTTAGAACTACATAAATGTAACTCAAATGCGGAATCTTGAATCTTTCGCTTTGTCAAAGTGTCGGGGTGTCCTTCGTTTTATCGTCTGTCTGGCTTTAATTAAAGCTTCAGCTTAAGTCTTGCGCTCGGGCCACATCAAATAAGTAGCACAAGCATTTTCAGACACTAACTAATTAAAGCGCATATGCTCGATGCTATCGAGCACGTCATCCTCCTCGCATCATCGCCATCATCTGCTCTCCATTGTCATCATCAAAGTGAGCTACGTATATGCGCAAGTCTCTGTCGATGCTGATGCCGATGTCTAGATGTGTGTGTGTGTGTGAGTGTGCGTGTGTGTGTGTGGGGCTTAGGCTAGTCTGCTTGCCTTGCTGTACAGGTAACAGGACATCAGTTGGGCCCGAAAGGTGCCCGGGAATGCATCCAGCCTCGGTCGTGTTTCATATGTCTGGACGGGAATCGATGCCAGGTGCAGATCGTGCCAGTGCCTAAATAGGAGTTACATCAATCCAGTGCGATTCAACATATTCTGATGTTTGGCGAAAAGGTTTTTGCTAGTGCGGTGCATTGTGCGCGTGGTTATTATCGAGAAATGTTTCGGATACTCAAGCGTTGATCTCCGGAAGGGGCTTTCACTATAAGAAACAGTAAGCTCTTTCGTTGTCGTGCTGTGCTCCATTGTCTAATTAGCTTTGGGGTGTGTGCTATTTTTGTTTTTTTTTTTTTTTTGTTTTTTTACCACTCAGGATGCTGGGTGGAGTGGGTGCCCGACGCGGTAGGGTCTCATCCCCGATGGGACGTTTGGCAAGCGCAAATACGTTCAGTCTGGATGACAACATTGCCATCATTGGCGATGGCGTCACCAGGGGCGGCACTCCGCCGGGCTCGCACCCTTTTGGCAAGCGCCGACGACCCCTAGCAGCCGCTGGCACGGACAGTTGTGCACCATTTCAAACGCGTCTCAACTTGGGTGACATTATGTGAGTATTATCCATTTTGAATACATTCCAAACTCTACTCGAATTTCATATATTATGGAGGTCTCTAAGACAAATCGGCTAAAATCTATTATAGGTATTAATAATAAATAAATAATAATCGAAGCGAGTGTTATTGCGGATATGAACCGCACCAGAGACCTCCATAAAATGCTTAGCTTTAGCTTAAAGATTATGTTATTTAAATATCGTATTTTTATCAAATAATATCGTATATATATTACTATACTTTTGTTAAATATTGTATATTTTTGAGTAGACTAATATATAAATAAATATTGGATAAGCCTAGTGTCGAGTTCAATGTTGTTAAAGCAAATAATTGAAGGAAACTGAAACATTCCATCAAAATATTGTCTGTTTTCATCCCGAAAAATTACCCAGAGCTGTTTAAAAATATTCGAAAATGTATTTAAACTCGCTTTTAATAATAATCATGCTAAAGTGGAAATTAAATTTTGCATATACCTATATAGGAATTAAGGAGGATCTCTTTTAAACATTTGCTATATTAAGGTGCAGCTATTATTAATATATGTCGATTCTTTATATGTATCTATTATACATATACTTATAGTTTCGCTTTATTTATTTTTATTTATACTAAGCTTATCTTAAATGGATTTTTCTATTCCAACATCTATCATATTAAACTTTAGAATTTTAAATTATAAGCATATACACATCTTTAAAGCAATAAATCTTTAAATTTAGCTAGCATAGTTTCGAGCATATGTCAAGGAGCCAAACGTTTGTCCTTTATACTTGTCTTTACTGTACCGTGTTTAAATTTGGCAATTGGTAATTTAAATTGAGGTCATTCCTGCTGTTAAGATCCTTTTCAGTTTTTGGCAAATTGCCAAACTGCGCCAATTAAATAAATCCAGTAGCTTACGCGCTTTGCCAATAGATGGCGCCTATGTATAAGCAGCCCTGCCAGTTGAGTAAATCGATAAGCGACCAGCAAGCATAATTGCCAACCAGCTGTCAACATGCTTTGTTTTTTTTTTCTTTCGCTTTTTGTTTTTTTTTTTTCGGTTTCGTCTGGTGTTTAGGGAGACCCTAAATTTGTGCGCCGCACAAACGAATGGTGGATGAAAGCATCATGCGAAAGCTTAAAGCTTCCCGTCAATGTCATATGAGCAATAGAATAGGCACTATTGAGCATTGCTCTCAGATGGAAAGAACGCACAGCTATAGTAACGGCTCATATATGCATCTCTTTTGCGCGCACGCCGTGCCGCAGACAGCGTCTTGGTTACATCAAGTGATGTGCAGTTTATTTGCGGCGGCAGTGCCTGCAAGTTCCGTGTGAAGCTTTTTTATGTTCGATCCAAAGCGCAGGACTGTTTGGTTAGCTGCTTGTGCGTGTAGTCGTCGTGTGTGTGCCTGTGGCCTGTGCCTGTGTACGTGTTTGTGTGTGTAATGTGTAAAGTGTAACACAAAGTCTTCATCGACTTGCGTTTGTCAAGTTTTTTCGTCCAACTGGTGAGACAAAGTCGGTAACTGGTCCGGAAAACATAGCGGTTTTTGTTTTTTATTTTTATAAACGGCATTCGAGCCTAGTTAACGTTGTCCAGCTGCATTTAGTGAAAGATAAATGTATAAAGCAAAATTTGTTGGCCATTTCACTTAATTGGGGCTAAAATACTCGACTTTTCGTGGTGGCATATAGTCACAAAAAAAGAAGAAAAAAAAACGAAAGAAAAAAATCGGGTCGAGTGGTGAATATAAAGTTAGAAAAAGTTCAACCGAATAATTGCGAAATTGAAATTAAATGGAAGCCATGAAATATACTTATATTTAGATATATATGTATGTGTGTGTATGTGAACATATATGTATATGTAATTAAAGTGAAATCGACGAAGAAGTGAATCCAAGGAA